ACAATATGTCAACAGAGAACTGCCAGATGTGCAGGCTGGATTTAGAAGAGATCGTGGTACTAGGGATATTATAGCTAATGTAAGATGGATCTTGGCAGAAAGCAGAGAATACCAGAAGAATGTCTATCTGTGCTTTATTGACTATGCAGAGGAACACAACAAGCTATGGCTGACTCTGAGAAGAATGAGAATCCCAGAACATTTGATTGTGCTAATGCGAAACCTGTACTTGGACCAAGAGGCATTCATCAGAACTGAGTAGGGAGACACTGGATGGCTCAAAATCAAGAAAGGGGTCCATCAGGGATGTATTTTGTTTCCGTGCCTTTTCAATCTGTATGCAGAACAGATCATCCGAGACGCTGGGCTGTATGAGGAAGAATGTGGCATTAAGATTGGTGGAAGAATCATCAACAACCTGCGTTATGCAGATGACACAATGCTGCTTTCTGAAACTGAGGAGGACCTGAAGCAGAAAGTCAAGGACTGCAGTCTTCATATGGATTCAAGCTCAATATCAAGAAAACAAAGATTCTCACCACTAGGCCAATTGGCAGCATCAATATGAATGGTGAAGAGATTGAGATAGCTAACAGTTTTCTTTTACTTGGTTCCACAGTCCACACTTTGGTAACAGCAGCCAGGAAATCAGGAGACGATTTGCATTGGGAAAGTCAGCTTTGAGGGACCTCTCAAGAGTACTGAAGAGCAACGACGTCAGGCTGGAGACTACGGTGCGCCTGATCCAGACTATAGTCTTTGTAATTACGTGCTGTGCATCGGAGATTTGGACAGTGAATAAGGATGATAGAAAATTGATGCCTTTGAGCTTTGGTGCTGGAGAAGAGTGTTGAATATACCATGGACTGCTGGGAGAACAAACAGGTTTATCCTGGAGAGGGTGAAGCCAGAATGTTCCCTGGAGTCAAGGATTCTGAAGCTTCGTCTCACCTACTTTGGGCATGTTGCAAGGAGGGACTGGTCCTTGAAGAGGGACATCATGTTTGGGAGAGTGAAGGGACAGCGCAGGAGAGGAAGACCCACGATGAGATATATCGATTCTGTGAGTGGAGTGGTGGGAATGAGTGCGTTTGAGACGGCGAGGTTGGCACAGGATAGAACGGTGTTTAGGGCTTTTGTACATAGGGTCGCTATGAGTTGCATATGACTCGATGGCACATAACAACAACACAACAATACTAAAAGGGTTGATTGTGGAGCCAAGAAAACTAAAGCTGTTAACAATCTCAATCTCTTCATCATCTATCAAGTTATGCTGCCAATCAGCCTAGTCGTTAGAACCTTTGTTTTGAAAGAAAGCCTTTTGTAGTGTCTCCAATATATCATTTTCTTGTATTCTAAGTTATTGGTGTAGAGATACAACATTTGACATTCTCAGCTGTCTGTAGCTGTGCTACCTAATATAGTAGTCATCATTACCATGAATATTAAATTTAAATTCATCTTAAAACTTATTTCCTCTACATTGCCATATGTCGTATGTTCAGTCACTTGTGACTGCTACATTGGAGAGCAAAGGTAAAGAACATTCCCCTCATCGTAGAGTATTCTCTTTGATAGTACTAGTAGAAAATAGAAATGTGTAGAGTAACTCTCTGGATGCAGTCTTTTGCTTGCATGTACCCAAGAACTGTGGTTTGGTTGGTAAAATAAATAGAGTTTATAAATATCACCTAAGAGCTAGTGCATACTAAAGCTTGCTTTTGTAATATCTTTTGAGTTGAGAATGGTCTTTACATATTTAAAGATGTTTTCAATTTGTTCTGGTGTTTGTTTTTACAAGGTGTTCTACAATTGTAAATTAATACTCTCTGGGCTTTTATAGCAGCATTTAACTAACCTTTGCTCTAAAGAATCAGTAGCACAAAATGAAATGATCTGCACACGGTACTCTGCACAGCTAATTCTACATAATTATAAGTCCTACATGGCCAGTTGGGTCTCTTAGAATGCTTTTGTCTAGTATTTATATACATAGCCATCCTGCAGTGCCAGTTCAACCATGATTTTGACAAATGGTTCTGTATCCCCATCTGTTTACTAAGGTTAACAAATTATTCCTGTAGAAGCCATATAGTAAATATTACAGGCTGTATGGGCCACATGTGGTCTGTTGCATATTGTTTTTACTTTTGTTTTTCCATCCTTTTAAAAATGTCAACAACATTTTTTGCAACACTGGTGTTATTGAGTAGGGTCCCACTCAGTGACCCTATGTGTTGGCATAGGACTCCATAGGGTGTTTTTCACTATAATCTTTATGGGAGCAGCTTACTAATTATTCCTCCTCTGGAGCTGCTAGGTAAGTTTATGCTTAACACGGGCTACTAAGGGTCCTCTAGGGTTATATGAAGACTTACCATATTTGGTTTGGCTGTAGTTTATTAACCTCTGTGCTAATTTATCTCTAATACTTTTGCTGTTAAATTTATATATTATCTACTTCAGACTTTCTTTTTCTCATATAAATGACATCATTACATTGAAATCTCCTTCAACTTTATCATAAAATTAAGTTTCTATTTTTAGTATTTAGTGATTTCTATGATATAAATATTCCCTCCATGACTGATTTCAGGCTACCAGCAGCACACAATTACATAGTGTTTGTGCTGTAACATATAGGTACCAATAACCTCAGACTCATAGGGAGCAATAAAATTAGTAATAAATTGGGAACTTATGAGTGTTGAGCATGATGCTTCCTTCTTGATAGGATTTCTTAGGGAGCTGTAAAAAGAGTGTAGACAGCATGGGAATGATTGAGTCTTACTTTAAAGAGGAATTATCACCATCAACAATATTGACAGTGAAAAATTAATTTCTGTAATTTCAGACATGGTCTTTCACATTCCTCTGTGTACTTCTACTAAATCTGTCACCAGTTTTACTGCTCTTTTGGGTCCAAAATTCATTGTAGTGACCTCACAGACCTCATACAACCATACTTATGGTTACAGGGTTTATTAAGGAAGTTAACAGGCTCAATTTGAAATTGGCAGCAGGATACTATCCCTCTGTCCAGGCAGCTTAAGTGTGGTCACATGTTGTTGTTGTTGTTATGTGCCATCGAGTCGCTTGCGACTCATAGCGACCCTATGTACAACAGCCCTAAACTCTGCTCTGTCCTGTGCCAATCGCACTGTCTCTGACACTCCCATCCCAATTATCCCAGTCACCGAATCAATCCACCTCATAGAGGGCCTTCCTCTCCTACGCTGTCCCTCCACCCTCCCAAGCATGATGTCCTTCTCCAAGGACCAGTCTCTCCTCACAACATGTCCAAAGTATGTTAGATGGAGCCTCAGAATCCTTGCCTCCAAGGAGCCACCCGGTTTAACCCTTTCCAGGACAAATCTGTTTGTTTTCCTAGCAGTCCATGGTATTCTCAATACTCTTCTCCAGCACCACAGCTCAAAGGCATCAATTCTCCTTCTATCCTCCTTGGTCATTGTTCAACTCTCTGATGCATAACAAGTGATTTCAAAGACCATGGCCTGTATCAGACACACCTTAGTATCCAGAGAGACAGCATTGCTCTTCAGTACTTTGGCGAGGTCCCTAACAGCAGACTTTCCCATGGCAATGCGCCTTTTAATTTCCTGGCTGCTGGTGCCAAGACTGTTGACTATGGAGCCAAGCAAACTAAAGCTGCGTACAATCTCAATCTCTTCACCATCCATCCTGATGCTGCCAATTGGTCCAGTGGTGAGAATCTTTGTCTTCTTGACATTGAGCCTCAATCCATATTGTAGGCTGCAGTCCTTGACCCTCGGCAGCAGGTGCTTCAGGTCCTCTTCAGTTTCAGCAAGCAGGGTTGTGTCATCTGCATAATGCAGATTGTTGATAAATCGTCCACCAATCTTGATCCCACATTTCTCCTCATAGAGCCCAGCCTCCTGGATAATCTGTTCTGCGTATAGGTTGAAAAGGTATGGAGATAGGATGCATTCCTGGCATACGCCCTTTCCAATTTTGAACCATGCCTTTTGACAAATAGCCTCACAGCTTAGGTCAGTGTTACATATTTCCCTTAGTTCTGCCAGTTATTGTGTCTTCGTCCGTCCTTAAGCGAGCAAGCTTTCCTGAAGGTCTGTAGTTCTGGCTTCTCGGACAGCAGTCCTGAGTGCATCGTGTCTCATGTTGGTTTCTGGTGAGGCTACTGTTGTTCTTGTGTAATTCTTGTCTGGCTGGCATAGGAATCTTTGGCACTGCACTCCTTGCTTCCTCTCCCCTTCCTGGTGTTTATAGAGACCCAATTTCTGCCACTGAGTCTCCTCAGTTTAAACCCTTGTGAATATCTTAGTCATGTGGCATAGTCAAAGTCAGGGGCCAGGAAAGTAAATCAGTTTCTGGCCCTGCAGGAGCTCTGGTGGTTTAGCATAAGAAGTTGAGTTGCCAACCTAAAGGCACATTGTTCGAATCCACCAGGTACTCCGTGGGAGAAAGATGAGCAGTTTCCTGTACAATTTATTGCCTCTGAAAACTTGCTGGAGACAGTTAGGAGTCAATTCTAATTCCGGATACACACATTCAATATATGATACACATATGGGCTTAATGTGGGCTGCATGGAACGTACACACAGGACACTCATGGACTTCACACCAGATTTTATATGATCTGTTGTACAGAAAACACTCATTACTGTTGAGTCAGAGCCAACTTATAAGTGACCCTCCAACGAGTTTACAGAGGCTGAAAACTTTTGTGAATCACACAATAGGAGACTGCCCCTCTTTCTCTCACAGAGTTACTGATGGAATTGAACTGTTAGAAGCACCACCTTTTAGTTGGCAGTGTCACCCATTACTGACTAGGCCACCAGAGCCCAGCAGTCATGTGAAATCAGCTTTATATTTGCTTAAATGCCACCATCTCCTCCAGCTACTGTATTTTATAAGCATTGTGCTGGTATTTTTCAGATAATGCCATTTTTCTTATACACAGGTGGACGTGCACATCTTCGAGTAGCAGTCCTCAGTACAACATCTGTGAGCAGATGATTCAGATCCGAGAGGACCACATGCGCTTCATCTCAGAGCTGGCACGCTACAGCAACAGCGAGGTGAGCTCTGCATGCATCTGGGCTGCTTGCCCACACTGGGGAACTTGAACTCTCTATGAATCCAGAAGGATCTTTCTATTTTTGCTTCTATGTAGTTAATGACTTTGAAACTCATAATTTAGTATCATAAACTTAAAGTGACATGCAGTGACATCAGGCTTGCTTCTGTCTGTTCAGCAATATTTAAGACCTTTTTTCCCCCCAGAAAATCATAGTAGGACTCTCAGAAAAATCGATGAGAAAATACCATTAAGTGAAATTTCATAATTTAGGAGCACAAATCCCAGCTGTTAGAAAAGTATGTAAGCAAGGAATAACATTTAAAAAGAAAATTCTTGATTTGTGGCACACTTTATATCCAAGGCAGTTCAAAGCCTGGAAGGGAAAAAAATACTATAGCCCGAGAGGGCAGGAGCCTGTGAGTCAATGACAGAGGGTGTCCTCACAAGAGTACAATATTTGTTCTCAGAAATCAGACTTGCTTGTTGTTAGGTGCCCTTGAGTCAAGTACGACTCATATCAGCCTTGTGAACCAGAGATTGAACCCTGTTCTATCCTGCACCATCCTCACACTTCCTGACACAAGAGTCTATTATAGCAGTCACCACGTCAATCCACCTGGTTGAGGGTCTTTTTCCCCTTTACCAGTATTCCACCCTTCCCAGCATTGCATTCCTCTGCAAGGAGTAGCCCCTCCTAGCAATATGCCCAAAGTTTGAGAGGCAAAGCCATGGTTTTTTAGTTCCTTTCTGCTTTTCTGCTGAGTGTGACATATCAAACATTAGTCTATATTAATTTTCTCCACATCATAAATCTCCAGGCCATCACTGTTTGAAAGCTGTGAGGTGAGAGTTTGAGCTTGAAGTTTCAGCCCTGAAGGCAAGCCACAGAGCGGAACAGGAGCAAGGCAGAAAAGTTAAAGTGAGGTTGGGTTTTGGGAAGTGGAGTACTTGATAAAAATTGTCTGACAAAGCATGAGGTCTTAGTGGGCCATATGAATCTGATCAGAGGAATGGTTGGTGTTTGGTACCCCAGGTTTTTTTGAGGAACTACTCTGGAGATTTTTTTTTTTTTACATATTCTGGGCTTTATTTACAGAACAGAGCAAATAAAAGAAATACACAGGCTCATAATCAAACACATAAAGCAAAGGCACTCATACTCAATTCTCAAGAGGGTCCTCATGTTGGAAAAAAAAAAATTAAAATCAAGAGATGAAAAGTGGCTTGTAACATGATACCAGGAGTCCTCAAGATTTCAAGCTCAGAGAACCAAGAGCGGGGACGTTGGAGCCTGGCCACCGAGGCGGCCTCCAGGCTGAGTGACGGTCTGGACAGTTGAGCTTCTGTACACATGCACCTGACCTGGGACATTCTTGGGAAAGTTTGGATATTTAAAACTTCTGGGTTAATTCTTAACCAGGCTTAAGAATTTGGGGCCACATTCTTCTGTTCTTGCTCATGTCATTTCCCCAACTTAGAGGGTGGAGGGAAGCTTTGCTCGTGGATTAATTCCAAAGGAATTGCAAGAAAAACTTTCAGCCCATCCCTGGCTATAGTTTTGTTTCATCAAAAGCACCCAGTGGATTTCTTTGGCACCCGTCCCCGTCCTGACCTACAGCCATAAAGGTGAGCCCCTGAGTGGTGCAAATGGCCAGCTCACGCGCTAAGTGGAAGACTGCAGATTCGGGTCCATCCAGAAGATCTTAGGAAAAAGGACTGGCAATCTACATGAATGCAGCCACTGAAAACACTATGAAGCACAGCTCTCCTCTAATGCACCAAGTCATGAGGAGCTGAAGCCAGCTCCCCAAAACCTGGCCATTTACTGTGACAGGCAAGCCTCTCAGGCTCTGAGTTTTCCTCGCTGACCAGGCTTTGCCTTTTCTTCCACTTACATGTCCACTTTTCTCCAGCTTCTAGTGTTGCCAGGCAAGCTATAATTATCTTCCACGTGGGAAAATAGGACATTATCAACTTTCACCATTCGGGCTAAAATGAGATCATCTATTTTCTCATTCCCTCACAAATCTCAGTGATGCAGGAACTGGGTCCATGTTCCCCTTGAACACAAACTTCCAGGAAGTGAACCTGAGTCCAGTCTTCACACCCACAAATTTCTCCCCTGCATCTCTGTTGTCTTACCCTGTCTTTAATGCACGAGATAGGAGGCGCCCTCGCATGCCCTGGGTCACAACCACTGTGGACTCTGGAATACTCTGGAAACAAAGTCACACAGTAGGCCTATCATGAGTGTTCTTACACTGGGTCAGAGCAAGAGCTCATTTTTCATTACTCTGGAGATTTAAGGTGTGCCTGATCTAGGCCATGGTCTTCACAATTACTTGCTATGCATCAGAGAGCTGGAAGCTGACTAAAGTTGACAGGAGAAGAATTGATGCCTTTGAGTTGTGGTGCCAGAGAAGAGTCTTAAACATACCAATGGACTGCCAAGAAAACAAATAGGTCTGTCTTGGAGTAGGTGAAACCAAGATTGTCCTTGAGGTTAGGATTTTGAAGCTCTGTCTCACATTCTTTGGCCATGTGGCCTGGAGGGACTGATCCTTAGAGAACGACATCATGCTCGGAGAGATGGCGGTACAGTGCAGGAGAGGAAGACACTGGATGAGATGAACTGATAACAGTAACTAGTGCAATGGAGTTGGTGTGTCAGAGTGAGGAATACTGTCTCAGGACAGGGCAGGCTTCAGAGATGTTGTACATAAGGTCATTATGCATTATTGTATGTTGTGGGGGTTTTTTTTTTTTTTTTTCTTTAATTTGTATTATTTTTACATGTACCGTCAAATCAGATCTGACTGGTACAGGAGGAGATTGACCCCTTCTTCTCCAGCATAGCGTCTGGTGGATTTGAACCGTGTACCTCTGGGATTGCAGTGCAGCGTCTTGCCACTTGGCCATCAGAGCTCCCTTATTGTATGTTTTAAGAGCACATCAGGTGATATTTTTGGCTTTAATGATTTTAGACTTAAAGATTAGAACAATAATTTCAGGTTTTATGTAGCCTCTGTGACTCCAGAAAATCTGAAGACCATGAGAATTAGAAATTCTGTTTTGCATTTCCCTCCTTTTTGATCAAGATTCTATTATAGACCCTTTGATAAAATCATTTGGTAGTCTTGGCTGCCCATTACCATTTCTTCTAATTTCATGCTATTGGAGACAGTTGCTCAAGCAGGAAAGTAGTCTTACATTCTATTTCCTACTCCTTAGTCTTTTTTTCTCTCTGTTGCTCCAGGCTAACAGAGAGCAGAATCAATGGTTCAGAAACATGGCCTTGATCACAGGAATAAGACTGGAGAGCAGAAAGAATTTTGCATGAAAAAAACTTATTCTTTGCAGATACGTTTTTTCCAATAAAGTACTTTTTGACTATGCATGTCAACCTCACTAAATATGCATTAATTATATTGACTACATTTTTTGAAAGAAATGATGAAAAAGTTCAAGGTCATCAGTCAGAACTAAGCTTACGCTTGTGAAACAGATCATCAGTTGCTCATATTGAAATTGGAAAAAAAAAAAAAATAGAAAGTCTTTAAAAACCAAACGCAACCAAGTTGGTTTTAGAGACCATCTCAAGTATAACTTTACCATATTGAACATTAATGATCAAAAACAAGATTAGTTTTGTGATGATGACATTAGGTACATTATACACGAAAAAGCAAAATGAACTAAATTTTACAGAAATAAAAGATCTAAATGAATATTAAAACATAGAGAAGATAAAGGAATGGGAAAAGGTGAAGGAAAAAGGTCAATTGAAGATTTCAAAGGACTTAAGAAAACAGCATTGCAGTAGAATGTGCAAAAACTTGTAGTAAGAAAACCAAAAGAGAAGAACGTGCTCAACATTTCTCAGGCTGCTAGAATGGAAGAACAGATTCAAGCCTCAAGTTGCAATACTGAAGGATTCTTTGGGAAAAAAACTGGGTGGGCGCAGCACCTAAAGTGCTCACTCATCTATATAAAAAATATTTGGAAGACCTGGCCAGCCTACTGAAAAAGATCCATATTTGTGACCATGTCTAAGAAAAGTGATAAAGCAGAAATTGTCAAACAGTGTCACATACAAGGAAAATCTTGCTGAAGATAATTTTTACATGGTTGAAAAGAGCAAGATGATAATGTGACTTAATCGATAAAGACGTGAATCAGAGTTGTTGCATCTTTTCACTTAATCTGTATGCTGGGCAAATACTCCAAGCAAGTGGTGTATATGAAGAAGAATGTGGCATTGGAGGAAGACTTGAAGACTTATCAGCAACCTGTGAGTGACACAACTTTGCTGAAAGGTAAGAGAGCTTGAAACATGTTGATAAAGATTAAAGACTATATATATTTTAGTATGGTTTATAACTCACCACTGGACCAATAAACAGCATCATGACGAATGGGGAAAAATTGAAGTTGTTGTGGATTTCAATTTTACTTGGATCCACAATCAAAACATCTATGGAAGCCACAGTAAAGAAATCAAAAGGTGAGACAAAAGGCTTACTAAAGAAATTTACAAAATGCTAATATAAGAAACAAGAAGAGACGTAGATAAATAGTATAGTGTTCATGGATAGGAAGACTTATAGTGAAAATTCAATTCTATCAAAAGCAATCTACAGATTCAGTACAGTTCAAACATAGGTATTGATGACATTCTTCAAAGAGATGGAAAGGCAGTTTCCACCTTTTATCTCAAAATAAAAGATTGCCTGAATAAGCAAAGCATTACTAAAAAAGAAAAACCAGGTAGGAGGCACCAAACTCATTGTTGATAAAATTTCTTGCACTGGGGGGATGGATTGTAAAATAATGGGGGAACCTTTACTTTTTTTTTTTGTAAATTTTTTACTTTTTAAACAGAGGTTTTGGATTTCCATTCATTCATTGCCGCAATTTTCTACCTTCCCACCCCTCCCCACCAGCTCGCTTCCCCCTCCGAGGAGAGGAAAAAGAAAAAAAAAGAGAAAAAAAAATGCC